GCACAGACCTGGACCATATGAACATCTTCTGTGACTACTAAACTTTCGATGTCCAAGCCCACACACACCTCACTATTAAAGGATTCACATCCCTTCTACTGGCCTTTACTCATTTGTGAAGATATATCAAACATTCCTCCCTCCCTTACTGAATCAGCCTCCCATAGTCAATGTTAAATAGTAATTTGTACATATTTTATCATATATTAAGTGTTTTTGTAGTAAATAGATTTTATTTTATTTTACTTTATCGAAGTAAATATATTTAAAATATTTTTATATGTTCGTTTTTATTTTTATTTTTAAATGCCTCAGCTTTTTAGCCTAATTTGTGGAGGTATGTCTGGTGAATGAAACTTGCTAGCATGCTTTAGTCTAATTCTGCTGGTTAAATTAATATAGCAACTTATGTGCTGATGAATGTATTTTATTCAACATTATTCCGCCCCAAACAAGCAAATGGGAGGGTGAATGACTTGTAGATGGTGACACTATATTGATCAGGTGAGTCACTTTCTGAAAACTGCTATCCACAAGAGGCCAAGTAAGGTTCTACGGAATCAGAGAGTGGTGTCAGAAACATTCCAACCCATTCAAGCTGTACAAGAGAGAGTAGAGACTAAAGGAGGAGAAAAATAAATATAATACTCTTAATCTGAAGCTACTAATGTAATAAACTATGCTGTTAGAATTATAAATATTGAGCTATCCTTGCATTTCTCTAAAGGAAGTTGAAAAACATGTGCTAGGCAGGAATTAGATATAACTTATTTAGGATATTTACAACTGTGTTCCTAATCAACACTAGCTTATAAGACCCATTTCATAATACCCATTTTATATGGTAGTACTTCCTGTTCAAATTGTCTAATATTATCAGGACCATTTATCTCTTATGGGTATGGCAGAACTCACTTGTCAAAACCATCTGGGCTTGATGCCATTTATGTAGGTGGATTTTAAAAAAAAACATTATAATTTTGTTTTGGTTATTTTGGGACAGGGTCCTATGTACCTGAGTCTGGATTCTATGTGGCCTAAGCTGGCTTTGAAATCTTACCTCCTGCTACCACTACCTAACTTCTGGGAGTACTGACATGTGCCACTATGCCTAGCTTAAAAAATACCATTCTTAGATTTGGTTTATGCATATGTTTAAATTTCTCTTTTACCTTAGCTAATGTTAACAGTTTTAATCTTTCTTCTCTCTCTTTTTCTCTTTTCCTCCCTTCCTCTTTCTTTCTTTCTTTCTTTCTTTCTTTCTTTCTTTCTTTCTTTCTTTCTTTCTTTCTTTCT